TGGATTGAGGGCTCCAAGTTTCCATATAGAGATAAAGGATGATTTGATGTATTGTTCTTTATTTCTAAATGTTTGGTATCATTGCTATCCTGTTAATGAGCCCTGTTTTACATAAATGTACCTGTTATCTGATTGTTTTTGCCTCTGTAACTGTAAGGGAAGTAGGGCTGCACGATATATTGTGTCGTGAGGATAATCACGTTATGCGCATGCAGGACAATTTTTATTTAATTTAATTTATTTTTTAGGACGTGCAAGTCGGCAAATTAACTAAAACACGTCATATTACAATTATTTTGCTGCTTGTTACAAAAGGAAAACTCGCGCGGCTCTCATGTCAGGGGTACTTGAGTGAGTGACATGCAGGCTCTGCATGCACAGCAAACCACCAATCACAATCATTCTTGATCAGATCACAGCAGGATAACCGAGCGAGCTCAGCTTGTTGCTCTGATAACTTAAGATCCAGAAGTCTGTGACTAAAATCCTTCATCCGGTTAAATATCGTTAAAAAAAGACCAATTGTATAGCATGAAAGTTCAAGAAAGGATAGCTTGCGGACAAAAAAAAACTGTCTTTTCTTCAATTCCTGTATTTTTTCATATCGCAATATATATCGCAGAGGAAAAAAATATTGCAATGTCAGTTTTTTCCAATATCGTGCAGCCCTAAAGGGAATACATTTGCCTATTTTGTATCCTGATGACCTAATGCCGTTACATGTAATACGTTACTCTCTAAGCCTGATTTCACCCACCTGCGACCGATTCGCTAATAATCACAAATGTTAATTTCTTTGACCCCTTGACTCGACTATTTCTTGTTTAATAATCGTTACATGTCCTCAGGACCAAGTTCCCGTTTCCTGCCTTTCACCTGCTGATCACCCACTGCTCATTTAAGGTGGACTGACCTTTACAATGGACCAGCTAGTCTTATGGCGCATTTCCACCACACGGTCGCCCTCGGCCTCGCTCGGTACTGCTAGGCCGCGTTGGGCCTTGTTAGGGCCGGCTCACTTCATGCTTCCATTACAGTTTAGGAACTGGGGTAGTTACTATAGTAACGCAGTGTAGGCGGAGCCGTGACGTCATCTTCAATGAGAACCCCAGAAAAACAACACAGCTGTTAGCTGTTAGCACTCAAGCTCACAGCTCCTCATATCTGTTCAGAAACTAGACAAAAGTTAAACAAGTACAAACCACAGACTGTCTGTCATGGCGAATACAGTCGCTGGTTTATTTATGTCTGTATAGGCCGTTGTTGTGAGTGTGGACGGTCGGAGCATATATTGCGTTAGCTTAGCCAATCTCCATCTAGAAAACACGCATTTTAAAAGGTTTTTCGCCTGCCGTCTGTCTGCAGACTTGTCAAAGCATTAATTCATGGATTTTACTAACCGGTATCAGTATGTTGTTACTTCGGCATCATTTTGAAACGTGTATTACAATTAAATCACGGTCAAATATGTTCATCTTGTTGTAGCCCCCTTGCCAGCGATTCTCTCTCTAGTTTAGCAAACTCAGCCCGACTCAGCCCTGTTTGTTGGCCCCGATAGAACCACGATTTTGTCGGGCCAGAAAAGAGGTGAGAAAGTAGCCCCGGGCCGGAACTAGGCCAAGTGGAAGCGCAACCAAAAACGTGCTGTTGGGTTGTGTGCTCTCTGCAGGACAGTGTCTGTACTCAAAGATTGTTTATGAAATGAAAGCTTTACTCTGTTTTTGTTGTCCAAACGACGCCAACAGAACGATACGTCTTCTTTCCAGCAGATGGCATAAATGTTACATCATCCAGTTCAACTGTCATCCACATATTAATAATTCAAAACAGAAATGTGTAAGATATGGCTAGTAATTGACTATTTCAACTAGGGCTGTCAAGTTAACACGTTAATAACCCCACAAATGATTTTAACGTGCGATTAACGCATGTATATTTGTCCTCGGCCCGCCCCGTAGTTTCAGAGCCCAAAGGCTTGACGTTGTTGTTGTTAGTTGGATGGTGGGAGATTCTAGCGAGAGATATGGATAAAAAAAAGGTGTTTTAAACAGCAAGCCAAGCCCACAGCTGATGCTGACAGCCAGGCGTGCCGGATTCATTTTAGAAGTGGGGGGGGCAAAAAAATGCGTGTGTATGGCCCAATCCCAAACCACGCCCTACACACTCCCCCTCCGTGACGGAGTGAACTCTGTGGAGTGACACATGAGGCTCCCTCCTGTCAGATGGAGGGAGTAAATACAGCGGCAAGCTTTGGGACAAACTCCCATCTCTCCGGCAGAAACAGGAAATGCCGTAACTGTATGTAACAACGGTTTCAAATCAGCATCTCTTTGACAAAAAATGTAAATTAATAACTCAAATAAAACTCCAAACATCTTTAATTGTGTTAATTTTTTGTAAAGCTCTTTTAGTTTTAAACCTGATGTTTATAAGCTTCTTAGTTTTTGCAACAGTCTGTAAATATACACAACTTTATAATAAAATGCACACATTTACCTTTTTCTAGACTAAACACAGGTAGCCTATGATCCTAAGTTAAAAACATATGAGGTTATCATGAGGTTGTTAACATCGCAGTTTATCAGTGGGTTATTGATTCTGCGTCAGTCTTAGGACAGTCATACATTCCTATGAAGTCTTCATGGACAACATAATCAGCTGATCGTACAGTCAGAGACAACTGTTCATGGAGGCTTTGGGCACTTTTTCCAGTTATTAACTCCGGTATTAACAAAGCTATCATCTCCACATTTTGAGAAAGTTACAAGCCGTTTGACAGCAGCAAATCTGCATATTTCACAGAAGGCCCGTTTAGTGGTTTTGCAAATAATTAACCACTCTCTGTTTTTGTACCATTCTGCGTTGAAGTACCTTTCTCTTTGCCCAGACGATCTAGCGGTCTCCTTTTTTTCGACAGTCAGCTGTACCCGCCTCAATGTCCCGACAACAAACCTCCAAGCAGTCGGAACCAGCCTGTTTCGGTTCAACGACGGCGGTGGGGGTGGCCTTGACAGTCTCTGCGGCCGCAGAGTTGCTGCTTTTGGGTTTATCTGGCTTCGCTGGTTCTTCCTTTACAAGCTTCAAAAATGCCTGTAGCTAATGAGATTGAATATAACAATAAAAAATAACAAAAAATACACAGCTAGATCAGATCGCATTTTAGATGCAACTTTAGAGTAGAGGGGAATTATTGAAACGGGATTTGTACAGTGTTCCGCGGCATTCCGCGCCCTTGCTGACAGCCCCGCTCCTGCCGCTTGTTTGCGGCAGACCACGCTTGAAAGTTTGTCGGGGAGACGCATGGACACTTCTACGAGCAGCAAGCTTTTAACAGCGATAGCTAAATAGGTGGCTACAGCTTAACATTGTGGAGGACGAGGGGCTGCGTTAGATAATTCGGATCGCATCCAATGTGTCGACTGCACATCACAGCGCATTATTTTGACCCACAGTGCGAAAGTCTCATGCTTTAACTGAAGATGAAGACAGAGGAGCGGCATTTCGCCGACAACTGTAAACAGGCTTGTCTGTTTGAGCAACTGGCAGAGTGCACTGCAGAGAAGTAGACAGGGTTGGGAGAGAGTGTAAGAGAGAGAGGTTCCAGGTGGTTGTATTGAAAATATTCAGGAGAACATTTGTCATTGTTCAGAGGTTGTTGTGTTGAGAATATTCAGGAGAATATTTGTCATTGTTCCAATGATAATAAACAAACATTTGCATAAAGCATATTTGTCCACTCATATGTTGATAAGAGTATTAAAAACTTGAAAAATATGCCTCTAAGGTACATTTAGAACAGATACAAAATGTGCGATTAAAAATTTTAATCTACTGACAGCCCTAATTTCAACCAAATGTGAAGAGGTTACAGTTTTCAGGCCATGTCCAATATGTTTATGTTTTGTTTGATTAAATCTACTGAAATTGGCATTCAATACAAATGTATTGCACAATAGCTGTGCTTTATTTTAACTGAGCTATGCCTGTGGCAAGCTATTAACAGGCATTACACTGTGCCTTGTCTTTTTCTTTTTTAGTGTAGTGGAGCCTCACTTAGAGCGTTTACCGCGATCCATCTTTGGTGTTAAGTGACTGAGCACGTGAACTGTCTACGGCAGTGGTGGGCGGGGGGAGCCTCGCTGCGGGGCAACTGTGGACCTCTGTCGCCTGTCAGCGCAACTTACATGATGCCGTTTAAAAAAATGAAGGGCGGTGCCGGCCGTCAGCGTACCGAGCCGGCCGTCAACGGCCCGCTGACGACCGGCCGTTCTGTGATTCTCCAGAACACACTGATGGCCAGTCCGCCGCTGAATTCCACCGGGTCGCCGCGGCGCAGACGGACCCGGTGGAATACAGGGTCTACCGCGTTTAGGAACCGTTAAGCAGAACCAAAATTGTGTATTTTGTATGGTTACCCGGTACCCGGCATTTTCTTATCGGTTCCCAACCCTAATCGCTACTTTGTTCAAGTAGTTCTCCATTACCTATTTGCTTTTTCCTGCGTACCGGACCCTATCCTGCTAGCCCGTTTGCTACCAGCCTCCAGCCGTTGGCCGTCAACAATCTCGCCAACTCCCTGCCGTCAGCTGCACAACACAGCTACGGTGGGAAAAAATGTTTTTTTCACGAACAGTTTCTTAGCTGTCTACCTACAGGCTGACACCATCCCTGACTCCACCGTCACCCAGAATGTTTCCCCTACTGACCTGGTCAACACCTACATCAATGCTCTCTCCTCCTGTCTCAACCAACTCGCTCCAATAAAACCAAGTATGTCTCTTTCACTCACTCGGCCCCCTGGTACACCGATCATCTCCGTTGCCTCAAAAGGAAAGGTCGCCAGCTCGAAAGACATGCTAAACGAACTGGTCTCACTATCCACAAAGACATTTATAGACTGCACCAACAGCAGTACAAAGATGCCCTCAACAGTGCACGCTCCTTCCACTACTCCTCTGTAATACAATCTGGCAGCAAAATTAAGCCGTATTAATATTTAACTTTGAACTGTTTCCTGTTTCAGATCAAAGTGTGTGACACCTGTCAGCACACAGAAAGGAGTAAAAACCTGGCCAGGACGGTCCGGCCCATTAAAGTGGACGCACCTTGGGAGATCGTTGGGATCGACATTATAGGTTTTTGCCTTAATTTAATTTCCTCAAATTATATTTATCTGCTGTTTTATTTCTTACTAAATTGTACGTTGCCTTACCTCACCTTACCTCACCTTACCTTACCTTATCTTACCTCACCTTACCTTACCTCACCTCACCTCACCTCACCTCACATTACTTTACTTTACCTCACCTCACCTTACCTCACCTTACCTTACCTCACCTCACCTTACCTTACCTCACCTCACCTCACCTCACCTTACCTCACATTACTTTACTTTACCTCACCTCACCTTATCTTCCTCTTCCTCTTCCTCAGGGCCTTTCCCAGAGACGCAGCAGGGGAACTCTAACGTCATAGTGCTCATCGATTACTTCAGTAAATGGCCCGAAGCTTTTCCGGTTCAGAGGACGGACGCTCTCTCTGTCGCAAAATGTATTTCCAAATGCATATACAGGTAGATACACTTCACAAGATCACCTGTAATCACACTTTACCTGACCAGGTGTTTGAAGCCTCATTCATGATATGTGAATCTTAAAGAGGCCCTATTCTGTTTTTGGAGATTCTCCCTCTAGGATGAGAAAAATAAAGAGCTTTTTGAACATTAAAGCATGGAGACATGTCACATATTCAATGTGTCGCTATCTCAAAGCAAAGGTAATCCTCCAAAATATCCTAAACAATGCCCATATCCACAATAGGTTTTCCTGGTTTTAACCACATTCTAGTAATGCCATTCTTGTTAGCAGCACTCAGGGTTCAAAATAAATATTTTACTTAGAGGAATCATCGAATATTAAGATTCAAAGTTAAATGGAAAGTCTATCTGAAAAACTTTTCGTAAAAGTCCATGATCTTCCTGCCAGAAAGGATTCAGTGATGTCCAAGACCAGAATACTGTGTATATATATAATCTGAAAATGATTCGCCTCGAGGCACCCACACTGTCTCCCATTTTCCTTCCCTTTCACATGTGTGTTTTTGTTAGAAAAATCTCACTCGTCACCGGCTTGGTCTTCAATATCAGGATCCATGTATTTATTATCCTCTCAAGAATGGAAGTAAAATCAGAAAGAAAATCTGACTTTTTCTAAAATGCAACCATCAGGACGCAGAAATAACAATATTTTTAACCTGAAATTAATCTCCTCTTCTTCTCTTTTCGTTCAGGTTTGGTGCCCCTAAAACAATAGTGTGCACGCAGAACGCTGACTTCTGTGATGAGGTGAGATTATTAAAATACTGTAAATAAATATTAAAGCACAGATGTAAACACCCATGCTGCTGTTTTCACAACATACGATGATACTTTATTATCAGATAAAGTCTGGAAGGTTTTTTGCATCACTGCAGGACCATTTGCAACTTAAAACAAGGATAAACATTAAGAGAAGAAACAGAGATTTCACATGACACTAAAATCACTGTATATCAGTATGTAGTGTCTCTACTTTAAAGAGTCCTCTCCTGCTGATGTTCAGGTGTATATCAGTATGGAGTGTCTCTACTTTAAAGAGTCCTCTCCTGCTGATGTTCAGGTGTATATCAGTATGTAGTGTCTCTACTTTAAAGAGTCCTCTCCTGCTGATGTTCAGGTGTATATCAGTATGTAGTGTCTCTACTTTAAAGAGTCCTCTCCTGCTGATGTTCAGGTGTATGTCAGTATGTAGTGTCTCTACTTTAAAGAGTCCTCTCCTGCTGATGTTCAGGTGTATATCAGTATGTAGTGTCTCTACTTTAAAGAGTCCCCTCCTGCTGCAGTTCAGGGGCCTCATTTATAACGCCTTGCGTAGGATTGACGTAGGAAGGTTGCTTACGTAGTACAAAGCACAAAAATAGGTACATACATTTTCCACAATTTTCCGATTCACAAAACATTGCGTACCGGCGAGGGAAGTGCGTACGGCACTCCCTACGCCTGTTTCCCTTTATAAATCACAATCGACTTGTAACGCCCATATTTGCCTATACATAGTCAAAGAAACGCCCATTCATTCATTCATTTTGACTGACTGCATGAAGAAGATCGCAGGAAATGACGATAGAACAGCTAAAAAAGACATCTCACACCGTGTCAGATTTTGGTTATTGTGGGGAGGTCGAGATAAATAATATTGTTTGGTGGATGCAGTTTGAACCAGAGTAGCAGCATGGAGGTCGGATCGTCACCAAAATAAATAAATAAGTGGTCCGAAAAAAGTTAATGACAAAAAAAATACACATAACCTTCCTCAGGCAGTGTGTTTGTCCCGGGGACAGGAGACACCCCCTTGATGAGAAACTCTAAGAAATGATGGGGGAATCCCTCCGGAGTGTAGTCATGACGACTGGATCTGAATTATTTTTGTTGTATTTGGTGGTTTGTGTTCCAGCTGTCGATCAGCAACTATATATCCATAATCCACCAGTTAAAGGAAATACAACTAATGTGTTGTGTTATATTAGCTGTACAATTTACCACATATGGTGTTCTTAGTTTCCATACCTCCTGTGTTTTACGAGCGACTTATCAAGTCTTGGCAAACGGCATAAAACACGATTAAACGTGATAGTATATAAAACCATGCTCGTATCTACAACCTATAGAAATGCAAAACGACGTCAGTTTAGACGTAATTCTGTCCTCCTGCTTACCGCATCATTTATGAGAAAACATTTCATAACATTAACACAACATATTCGAGGTGGTTTTAAATAACATATCCGTATTTATTTATTTCTCCAAGTTATGTTTTTGTGTGCACTGAGGAGTCTCAAACAGGCGTTTGTTTAATCATTTAAAGATTGGCTTTAATCAATGTTTGAAAATGAATTCTTCATATTTGATAAATGAGAGGTAACATTTTATTTATGGTATTATTTCCACATATTTCTCTCCATTCTTCCTTCTGCCAACGGTGTCGCAGTTTCTCGTCTCTCCCGTTTGTGTGGTTAGTGCGTACGCATGGGTTAGAGTTTGCGTGGAGGACCGCACATTTTCCCGTCAAGTTAGTATTTTATAAATCGCAAACATTGCGTAGAAACTGACGTACGCCATTTTTTGAGCGTATATCCCTTTATAAATGAGGCCCCAGGTGTATATCAGTATGTAGTGTCTCTACTTTAAAGAGTCCTCTCCTGCTGATGTTCAGGTGTATATCAGTATGTAGTGTCTCTACTTTAAAGAGTCCCCTCCTGCTGCACTTTAACTTAAATAAAAATAGTAATACCACCGTGTGTAGAAATGATCAACACAATACAAATAAATCCAGCATTTAAATGTGATAAACACATGAATGCATCAATGATTATAATCAAAACATATCATATATATTATTCTGAATGTGTCAATCTGCATATTGAGTACTTTTACTTTTGGAACTTTAACTATGTTTTGATGCCAATACTTTTGTACTTTTACTTCAGTAACATATTGAATGCAGGACTTTTACTGTAACAGAGTATTCCTACACTCTGGTATTTCTACTTTTACTCAGGTACAAGATCTGAGTACTTCTACTTTTACTCAAGCACAAGATCTGAGTACTTATTCCACCTCTGCAGCTTACAATAAGTGCAATCAACCACGAGGATGCAAACTCCGAACAGCACGAATCCTGCAAGAACATCAGCTTCAGATATGCCAAACATTTGTAATTGCTATACAGATATTTGATTTGTTTATTTATTTGACAATTGCCAGGTTTCTCACACGCACCAAGCCCTGGCAGCACATCACCCCTACTCTCTTCAACCTCCACTGGCTCCCGGTCAAGTCCCGCATCACTTACAAACTCCTGCTCCTCACCTAGAAATCCCTCCATGCCCTCTCCCCTCAGTACCTCACAGATCTCCTCCACCCTTACATCCCGTCCCGCACCCTTCGATCCTCAGACTCCGGTCTGCTCTCCATTCCCAATTCACACCTCCGCACCTTCGGGGACCGTGCCTTCAGTGTCGCTGCCCCCACCCTCTGGAACTCCCTCCCTGCAGAAATCTGCAACGCCCCTTCTCTCAACATCTTCATATCAACCCTTAAAACTCATTTGTTCAACATCGCCTTCCAACTATAACTCACTCCCCCCCCACTTACACTTCCATTTCTGCCCCCTGTTTTATGTTTATGTTTTTTTATGTTTTATGTCTTGTCCTTGTATGTTTCTTTGTAAAGCGACCTTGAGGTTGAAAGGCACTATATCAATTCAAATTATTATTATTATTATTATTATTACAATTACCTCAAAATGTACACAGAGGGTTCTAAGAACAAGGAAGAGTGTGTTGGAGTTGGTTTATATCCCAGACTTTAAAATATCGATCTCAAAAAGAGCGTCTGATCAATTATCAGTGTACACAGCAGAAAGGCTGGCAGTAATAATAGGATTACAGTGGGTTGAAGAGGTCAGACCAGATAGCGTGGTGATATATAGATTCATTGTCCATATTAAAAAGCATACACTGTATGCCATAGTCAACAACAACTGCCAGAGAAGACATTCTCATAGAACTGAATCATAGCCTGTTAAGACTTCACAGAGGCGGTATAGATCTGCAGTTCTGCTGGCTGCCTGCACATGAGGGGGTGAAAGGGAACGAGTGTGCTGATAAATGAGCAAAAAGTGCACTACAAAAGGAAATCACATTACCAGTTCAACTTGGAAAAGGAGAAGGAAAAGCAGTGATTAAGAAGAAAGGGATGGAGATCTGGCAGAAAAGGTGGGAGAAAGACCAGAAAGGCAAAGAGTATCATAAAGTTCAAAACACAATCACAATTAATATTTATAAAGAAAGAAACAGAAGGGAGGAAATCATGATAGCTAGACTCAGACTAAATCACACAGCATTGAATGGTACTCTGTATGTCATGGGGAAAAGTGACAGTGACAAGTGTGGGAGCTGTGGAGTTAAAGAACATGTGGAACATATATTATTACATTGTGACATCTATAAAGCTGAAAGAGAAAAACTAAAGGATAAAGTGATAGAGGCAGAGAGGGAATGGAGTGTGGTTGGTATTCTGGGAACAGAAGGAGAGGGAGGAAGAGCTACCAGAAAGGCACTGTTTACCTTTCTGAGGGAAACTGGGGTAGGACAAATAATTTAACATTAGGCTAGAATAGATCATGGATTGTTGTTTTGTTTTGTTTTATTTATTTATGTTTTTTGTTTATTTATTTATTTTTGATTAGATCATAGATATACGTCCATGAGTTAAGAGATGGAATGATATGATGATTCACACTCATGTACAGTAGGTGGCGGTATGCACCTTAAAGTTGTTTGCAATCCGCCAAAAACTGAGAGAAGAAGAAGAAGGAGGAGGCGTCTTCACCGGAAGTGAAGTTCCCAGCTCTTTCTAACCTGGATCCACGTGGCGTCTCGTCGCTACGGTTCTCTCTCTCTGTGTTCCTGATAAAGTGTGTGTGAGCTCCAGCACTACTGATCCATCATCTGTGTGTCTGGATAAACCTCCGAATAGACTCTGTGCTCTTTTTTCTGGAGCGTTTACCTCGGACTATAGGAGCTAGCTTAGCATGCTAGCTGGAAACACGTTAGCAACACTAGTCAGATTGAGAGTTTGGTGAAGAGAGAAACGGTGTGTTTAACGGAGTTTGCAGGAAAAGGTGATCTAGTAAACATGAGTAAAGTCCAAATGCTGCTGTCGTTGAAGAAGCAGCGACTCACTGCTGCTCCTGAAGATATATTTGCTCTGTTTGAAAAAACGATAGCAGAGCTCGAGGAGGAGCTGTCTCTTTCCAAAGAGGAGAACGAGAGACTCCAGAAACTACTGGACGCTGTTTTACAGCCTCAGCTTCGGATACACAGAGCAGGTCTGTTCCCTTTACTCTTCATTAACACTTTAAAGCAGAGGTGTCCAAACTACGGCCCGGGGGCCAAATCCGGCCCGCTGGCCATTTTGAATTGGCCCTCAGCTAATTCAAAAAGTATAATGAAATATGGCCCACAAATGAAACTTTTGCTTTTCTTATATTGTACTTCTTAATACTTCCCAATAGCCGTAGCGCCACTTTACTGACGTCGGTGAAGTGTTCAAATCTGGATCAGTTTTTATCAGATCCGTTGCAGCCCCTTTTTTAGAGATTTGGGTATGGAGGAAAATAGAGAGGGTTGTGTTTTCTGACACTTGGTGAGTTCCCTGGAACACTGGGGACACATATTCATGTATAAAAGACGTACAAAAGTGCATTTTGCATGATAGGTCCCCTTTAACTGATGAGGCAATATACCTCACCTTTATGAGTGCCCCAGCCCTTCGTATGTTTTTCTGTATGTGGCCCTCGGTGAAAAAGGTTTGGACAGCCCTGCTTTAAACTCTTTTGGTAACACGTTAAACAATTTGGTAACACTTCTGACTGTTTATTATTGCTGGG